TTCGGCAATTTCTTATCTCTTAAGGCTTTATATCCCTTATGAAGAATATCTCAAAATAGCTCTTTTATTTTTCTGGAGTTTGGAATTTGTCTGGTTGATTCATTCGGATGATTTGGTGGTTTAAAATGGAAAGGTAATTAAAAATATGGTGGTTGTTGAGACTCTTGAGACACACCTATGCCAAGCTCGCACGCTATTGGTCGAGGCAGGAGGCCGGTGGGCGCTGATTGGCTGGTTTTCTGGGAGGGGGATAAGGGGGATGGGGAGAGAGGGGACACGTGGTTGTTGGTTACCAGGCCAAGAAAATGGTGACCTTGGCTGTATTGTTAATCTTGGCGACTGGTTGTCTGTGTATGTGAATTTTATGCAATGTTACAGGGAGAAGGACATTCAGAATTGGCCTTTATGCTTATGCTCCCTCGCTGTCTCTCCGTCTCTTTCTCTGTCTGTCGATGTCTCTATGTCCTTTTCTCTTTCTCTCTCTGTCTTATTATCTGTCTCTGTCTGTCTCTGCTTACGTCTCTGTATATATATCCCCCCCCTCTCTCTCTCTCCCTCATCTCCCTCTTCCTCTCTCTGTGTCTGTCTCTCTTTCTCAGTCTCTGTCTCTGTCTCTATCTGTCTGTCTGTCTATCTATCTGTCTGTCTATCTGTCTCTCTCTCCCTCCCTCATCTTACTCTTTCTCTCTGTCTCAGTCAGTCTGTCTGTCTCTGTCTCTGTCTCTCTCTCTCTCTCTCTCTCTCTCTCTCTCTCTCTCTCTCTCTCTCTCTCTCTCTCTCTCTCTCTCTCTCTCTCTCTCTCTCTCTCTCTCTCAGTTTTTGTTACAGGACAGTATTATAGGAGAGTGCACGCGACAGTGTTATGTTTGGAAAAATCATTAATAGATTTGGCTTTCCTCAACTGTCATGGATCAATTTAGCTCTGTCGCTGTCACTCCATGTAAGAATATACATACATACATGTATACATATATACATACTACATATATACATACATATATATATATATATATTATACATACATATACATATATATATATATTATTATATATATGTATATATGTATATATATATATATATATATATATATATATATATATATATATGTATATATACATATATATTTATACATATATATTTATATATATATATGTATATATACTATATATATATATATTATATATATATATATATTATATATATATATAATATGTATATATATATAATATATATATATATATATAATATATATATATATACAATATATACATATACATGTGTATATATATATACACATCCATATATATATATATATATATATATATATTATATATAATACATACATACATACATACATATATAATACATATATATATATTATATATATATATATATATATATATATAAATATATAAATATATAAATATATATATATATATATATATATATATATATATATATATATATATATATATATATATATATATATAATATATGCTTGTATATGTACACACACACACACAGACGCCGTGGTGTCAAAGCACCAACTTCACCCATGGCCACCAATGGGCCGCAAGGTCAGAGGGGAATCTGACTGCCTCCCCTCGGCGACAAGGGGTCAGCCAGGGGGCTTCCCTGGCGCTCTCTCGGGGAGCTATCCCGAGCTCCTGTCCCCAGAGTTGCAGGGGACCCTCGGCCCAGGGAAACGAGCCCCCTGCCCAGGGTGACGGGCTCCCCTCCGGCCAGGACTATGGCCGGACCTCTGCCCAAGGAAGCGGGCCCCGCCGTAGTCCGGGTCAAGACTGGACCCCCGCCCAGGGTGATGGGCTCCCTAGCGACCAGGGATATGGCCGCCCCTGTGCCCAGGGCGTCGGGCCCTCCCCCCAGGGTAAGGGTGGGGTTTGCAATACAAACAGTGAACCGTCCGAACCAGCAAACAGTGCAAGTGAAAGCAGTGTAAACAGTGTAGACAGTGCAGACAGTGAAACTAACGATCAGATTTACAACTTCGGCAGCCTTACAATTGTTCTAAATACGATTTTGTGCTTCATTGCGACCAAAAAGTTGTGGGCTAGGATGTTGCTTTGTGAACAACTCAAAAAGCATTACGCTCCCGAGGACATCGCGGAAGCACACAATATTGTAATTGAACTGTCCGACGCAAGGCGACCCAGACTCACAACTCGTGACACGAAAAGAATGATCAATGTAACAGTGCATACCATGCTTGACGATCTGGTAGACAATAAGAATATTATCTTCGCATCAACAACAACAGAGGCGACAAGATCCCACCCCGTCAAAAAGCAAGGAATCTCGACGCCCTTCACAAAATTTTCACCAAAACGAAAAGTGAGGGAACCCAAACACACACAGTGCCAGCCGACCCTACGTCCGGTGACTCGCTTAATGTGCTTCAAAACAGAGTCGATGTGTTAATGGAAATGTTTATGAAGCAACAAGCAACCCTCAACAGTCTCTTTGAGAATGAGGAAGGTATGCCGTGGCGTTCGCCAGCACGGAAGTCCGGTAGGTCTGACAGCATCAATTCTTTGTCCGACACGTCTAGTCTAACGTCTCTCCCCCCCCCTCCCTACCAGATTCCTCCTGACAACGTAGCCTCCCCAGACACATCTTGCTACCAACCCTTTCCCTTCTGCTCTCCTATCCCCCCCCTTAACTCCCCCACCGAACCAAACTCACACACCCATCGACACCCTCCCAGCTCCCCACACCGAACCTCATATGATCCCCAGCCCAGAACCTTAAGAACCCTATCCCTGAACCCCTCGTGAACCCCAGCCCCACGTCACCCCCCCCCCCGGGTAATGCAGCAACTAACCAGTGCTGCCCGAACCTGACGTCATCACCGGCCAGTGTTGTGCGGCACTGCAGGCGCGCGACCCTGCTGACGCAAGCGAGCCGCGCATTCCTCCTCGGCCCGGCGTCTAAACCCCCTCAAGACCCCCACATTCATCAGCAACAGAGAAGATGAGCAACAAAGAAACACAGGTGACGCCCACATGCAACAATAGAAATAGCAAGAGGAGAAACAAGCGGAACAACAGAAGGGAAAACGACAAGCAAGAGAAAGACAGTTCCCCTCCACCAACCGCACCGAACCGCGAGTGGAGTGATGCAAAGTACCACCACGTGCCCGGGGTTCCCCAGCCCGACAGTAGTAACACGGCTCCTGTTGTGATAAATAATAACTACAGTCACAACCATGTAAGACACGAAACGTCTAATCCAAGCAATGTGGATGCGGATGGGTTACCTCTCGTGGAAAAAAGAAAAAAGACAAACAGAAACAAAGATCTACCGCTAAACCTTTACAGGGGGCAGCTAAACCAGAGGTGTTTGTACCTTTACATAACAAACTGCCACACAGACACTGAGGAAGCAGATATCGAGAATCACCTACTCGTTAACTTCCCTGAGGTGGACGATGTAAATGCATTCAAAACAAAAATGAGTCATTCATATTATGCCAGCTTCACTGTTTCTCTTAAAGGCAAAGCACTTGTAGCTGATGAATTTCTGGTCAGATTCCTTCCCCAGCCCCGTGAGTCTTTTTAAATACAAACAAGTACAAAACCTCGCAACCCGAGCGGGATGTTTGACCAAAATGACTCGTCAACAATAGCGCCAGCTAACGCAAGACCCGCAGAACACTTCCCAGCATTTTACCTTGCAATTGCATGCTGCCTTACAAACAAAATGGACGAACTTGACGTCATAATGAAACAAAATACTATCGATATAGCAGTAATCACAGAAACGTGGTTCAAAGATGATACATTAAACATCGGAACCATACAGGGGTACCACTTATTGAACAAAATTCGTCAGGGCAGAAAAAGGTGGTGGCGTTGGTATTTACATCAAAGATACTATCCCTTGCAACACTATAAAATCCACCTGTCCACCAAGTGACGACCTTGAAACATTATGGCTCGCTGTTAGACCTACATGGCTGTCTCGTGAAATCAGTGTGCTCGTAATCTGCGGGATATATTTCCCCCCAAGGGCACCTACCGAAGAAAGCCTCAGAAAAACTCATGATAGAAATGTGTTCATCCTCCAAGCAAAGTACGGAAATCCCTTTTTAGTAATTCTTGGCGACCTGAACACTTTTTCTGATTATGAAATCACCTCTGTACTGAATTTTAAGCAGGTTGTGTCATTCGCCACACGTGGGAAAAATACCTTGGACAAAATCATAACAAGTAAAGAGCATTTTTATGAAAGTCCAACTTCCCTGCCCCCTTTAGGCAATAGTGATCACTTGTCGCTGCTCTGGGTACCAAGGAAATATCAGGCACCCACGCAATTAAAGGAACAAAACTTATTCGTAGATCCCTGATTCTAAAATCCGCGAGTTCGGATCATGGATTACTCATCATGACTGGGCCGACGTTCTCAAACGCCCCGACCCGAACACTAAATTGCCAACTTTTTTTATAAATCAATCTGGAACCAAGTTGACAACTGCTTCCCCTTAAAAAGAACTTCCCCACCCACCATCAGGATCAAAGACCTTATCTGACAAGACAAAAAGCTTACAAAACAAAAAACATCGATGCAACAAAGTACTTGGCAAAAAAGGTTAGACAAGAGATAAGATCGGCTAAGAAAAATTATCATAACGCAAATAATTGATAAAAGTGACGCAATCCCAAATCGTGGTATAGCCACATTCGGAATTTAATCGGTGACAAAAGAAGTGACAGTTACCCTCTCTCACATCAGTGAAATTGCCGACTCGCCAGAAAGCGCTGGCTAAAGGGCCCTCACACGATCAATTTTTTCGTCAATTAATTGATATCAATTTATTGACGTCAATGAATTGATGGAGAAATTGACCGTGTGAGGGGGACATTGATATCAATTTAATTGAAACAATGTCATTGAGTCAATTCATTGATAGATCAAAACTCCTTTGATATTTATTGATGGGTCTTCAATAAAATTGGGCGTGTGTGGCAAAAGCGTCAATA